CCCCAAAACCCCAAAACCCCAAAACCCCAAAACCCCAAAACCCCAGAAGGGATTTTCTGATTGAATTTCAATGAATTAGTGTAATTATTCTGTCATCATTCTCCACTTTCTGTAAGAAGGCATAAGGCCAAATTTCTTTTTCATCATGGTCCTTTTATACTCTCCTTCATCATCAAGATCACTCAGATCCACAGATTTGAAGGAGGACTCCTCATCATCAGGCTTGGTGGTCTTTATGCCATTCTTTTTAGTATTTTGCTTTCACTCGTATCAGTTGCAAGCTCCTCTAGAGAAGGTTCCATTGTTCTTTCATTTTGTAGAAAGTCTCCCTAGTGTAAACTCTTCTAAATTTTTGAGCTCACCTTTGATAGCTCCTTGTATATTTCTAACTTTCGGAGTTTCTTCAATAATACTTTTGAGACTGAGAGAGCTGCTAAGGGACTTGTCGCTACCAGGCCTAGAGAGACTTCTAAAATGTTTGGAGCTCTTACGGTTTGCTTTCATCATTCCTTCATATCTTTTATCTGTGCCGAAATAGCTGAAATATTCATACTTTGCAACATCTTTGAGACTTTTGCTAAGTTTCTTCACCATTAGCAAGTTATCAAAATCTTCGTTTATGGCTAAGAAATCTGTGAAATCCTCGTCAAGATCTTCTCCAAAGGGGACAATTCCGATTTCTCTAAGGAAATCTCTGAATTTGATCACTGGAATCACCGAGATTTGATGTACTTTGTCTCGTGAGACCACCTATAAGCTGTTAGAGGGGATAGTACTTCGTATATTTCTGTAAGATTTTCTCCTTCAATAAGGTCATCAACTGTCGAGAAGTTGTTTCCCTTCATATATTTCAAAATCTTGTTAAATATTCTGATGGATGGACCCTTAAGTACACTATAATCCATGGCTTTGGTAGGCTTGGGTATTTTTTCCTCAATTCCAATATTTTTCATATAAAAAGCCAAAGATTCAACGTCGATTAGATCTCTGATGAGGGGCTTTACGATCTGTTCAATACAAAACCTGTCTTGAGATGTGAGATTTAAGAATCTAAGTAATGAGACCTAAAATTCTTACTCAAGGCGTTGATATAACGTCTCTTGCTTAATGAGCTGGTACTCTCTTCCATCAATAGTTTTACTAAACATCCTATCATGAATGATTTTCAACAAAGACAGTTCATTATCATAGAGGTAATCAGCAAGTTTTATGAGTAACCTCTCTCCTCTTTTGGAGATTTCTTCAATACTTGGGCCTAAATCACCTGAAATCTTTGTAGAAATCTTGGTAGAAATACTCTTGCCGAGCTTGACAAAACTATTAGGAATCGGGATGAGGTTACTACCGTCCCCTCCTTCAATCTTCTTCACAAACTCAGTGAGGCAGTCTGGACTGATAACAGATACGTTGTTACTTCTTTCTCAGAGGTAAGTGGCTATTTTTACTGAATCAATTTCGTCCTCAACCATTTTGCTGATTTGGATGATTTCCAGAGGAGAAATAATTTTACATTTCGCAAGGTCTTTGAGGTTTTGAGTTAATTTAGTGAAATTTGCCTCATCTATCATTCGGAGGCTGAGTATGACGTCTTCAAGCACATCTTGGCGAGGTTGAGATGTGGTATCTGCAAAAATCTCTACTTTGTTCACAAGGATCGCTATCGGAATCGAATCTTCATTTTTGAAAAAGTAGTCCTTCAACAACTCGGATTCTGTAGAATCTAGGAAACAATGACTCTGAAGAATAGCTCAGAAGGATCCTGGTGAGCATTTTTGAGGAAAAATGTCATTCAAGTAGAAATTGGTACATAGCTGCGCCATTTTTGGCTTGAAATGTTTAATGTCTCCCTCGTTAATTGATTTACTGTTCTTGATACTATATGCAACTTTAGGTTCATGCTAAACCAGTGCAAATTTGTATAAAGTATTGCTACTTCAAAAGGAGTTCTCTAAAACGTGGGAAAAACATTTGAATTTGAGGCAAGGAGCACAAGTTTAGAGTTCTCCTGAGCTGAATGCTTATTTCATAATAAATTTAACTCTCATGTTTGAATGAGGTTCCACTTACTGGGATTTAGCTTCTTCCTGAGGTTTCATATCAATCAAGATAACCTCTTTAGCCTCTCCGGCTTTTGTTCTTGGTACGAAAGATTCTTCAGCCTCTATATCAAGATCCATGAATATAGTAGGGATCTTTTTGTGGTCTCTTTTATCCTTCTTATTTCCTTCTAATCGTTCGGTTGGATGGTCTCTGGGTAGCATCTATTACTATCCTAGGGATCTCTACAAATCAATCAGGATGTATACCTGCTGGTCTTGATGATGAAACTGGAGCATGTTTAAACACCTTCATATGGTGAATCTTGTCTATAGAGACTTAGTAAGACAGTAGATAAGATTTTTATGAAACTTTTCAACTCTGTAAAACGACACCAGGCCAGGTTGACCTCTAATACTTTATAAAAAGTACCGAAGTAGTAATATTTCCCTCCTAGCCTGAATAGGTTTGTTAAATTTAGAGAGATAGATCACAATAAATGTTTCTGACCTGCATAAACTACTCTTTGTGTTGATCTTGACTTGAAGGCCTTTTTCAGGGTTGATTCTAGACCAATCATTAAAGTCATATTTTGGGAAATAAAATATGAAGCAAGCTTACTGGTGATGGTGGATTTTTGCTTGAGTTCTTCTTTTACACTAGAGCGTGTTTCCTTACTAGCCGGGCAGGATCTCTTTCTACAGAAACATTAACCTCAGGTGCCTTGAGTATTAGGATAAATTTCAGCGAAGATAAGCAAAATTGCACTTACATCGGTTTCCTTTTAGTCTTTTGGGATGAACTTGTTGTATTCTTGAGGTTTGAGTTAAGTTTTCTTTTATAAACTCCTGATTTCGGGCTATCATGCACCAATCTATTCCTATAAATCATTGAGAACCTACCTCTGCTTTGTCTTCACTCTAACTTCAGTATTGGGTTTACGTGCATCAAATGAGGAATAGTTTGGAGAGTCTGTCATGGTCTTGTTTCGTTCAATTTTCTAATAATTTATACTTATGGGGCATCTAGCTTACCTTGTTAGGACATTTACTATTTTTGGCTAGTGTGGCCTGTTTTTTGTAGACTTTGAAATAGAGAGGAGCCTCTTCTCCAGAGGTCCTCATTTTATATCCATTGCTTAACATATATTATTTTCAATGATTATTGGGCAAGTGGGGTTTTGGGGTTTTGGGGTTTTGGGG